AATTGAAGAAGGATGGGATGCTCTCTTTTTTATTGCTATTTTCCTTAATTGTGGTGTTAAGGTCATCATTAAGATTTCTGTCATCTTTGTGTTTTTATAGTCATGTGTATTTAATGAATATGCTTTTCGAACTAGTGTTTCGATTCGTACTGCTATTTGCTTGATGGTTTCGTTTGGTAATCTGCGAATTTCATTACATAAAACTCTTTGTTGTTGTTTGTTTCTTTCGGAGTCAAACATTTTTGAAAATTCCTGTGTAAACCTTTTCCAGTTTGATTTTATTTCTAGAGGTAGTACTGAAAACCATTTTTGGGCTGCGCCATCTAAGGTTGTTTGTATTAACGCTGTGCGTCGATGTATCCAATTTTGATGTAGTGGCGTATTAATTGGTTCAGGTCCAATATTTAAAATCAGGTTTGCTGTTACTGCATTTAAATAATCTTCTACAGAGTATTCAGGGTCTGTTCCTGTGAAAACCATTAAAGGTTTGTTTGATGTTATTGATGATCCACCCATACGATATGGATTCATTGTCATTTGTAATGATTCTGCTGCATTTGGCATTTGAGAAAAATTCGAAAGTTGGTTTCTTGTTATTTCATGTTGTTGGAGATAATATGGGAGTGGTATTTCATTTTGCATTTGTGATGCTTGATACGAGTGTGCAGTCATTGGATTTTGTTGTTGAATTGGTTGAAAAGATTGTGTATTAATTAGATTTTGTTGTTGAATTGGTTGTTGATGTTGTGCATTTATTGGTTGTGGAGAAAAATTTCTATGATTTGTACGTGTTCTCTGTATTCCTTGTCTACGATATTCTTGAGTATTTGGTGCAAATATATCTGGTTGTAAGAAATCATCATCTGAGGATAAATAATCCATTTGATAAGATGTCTGTTTTTTATTTCTATTTTGTTGAAAAAATGGGTAATTTTCACTGTGATCCTGTGGAGGATTTGTTTGGAAATTTATTGAATTAGGTTGGGTCATTGGGTTATCCCAATTTCGAGATCTTGTATATTGGTTAAAATTTCTTTGTGGTTGATTATATGTTTTTGATGGATGTGTATAATTATAATTATGGTCTGCAAAGTTGTTTCTAGTGAATGTTTTGCGTGTTTTTGATGGTATTGTCATGGGTCTGTATGTTTGGTAATCCATATGTGAATATTTAGGGGCAACCGAAGGTTTAACGGTTGATTGTAAGGTTACCTGTGTTTGTGAAGGATTTGTATTTCTTGGTGTTGTTAAATTTGGGCGTATTGGTGAAATACTTTGTTGTGTAGTTGTTGTGTGTACAATTTCTTCATTTATGAAGTGTGATGGTGTCTGGATATCTTGTTGAGTAAGATTCCTAGTTCCATTGAGGTTTTCATTGTGTATAACTGTAGAGTTTAAACTATTATTTTGTGTATCGGGCAAAAATGTATTATAGTTTAATGGTGTTGCATCAATGGTTAATGGTATTACTTTTACATAATCTCTTATGTAAGATATCGTACTTATTGCTTGACTTGAGATTGATTGTGGGAAGCTTATAAATGCGGGATGAGACCATTCGGGGTCCCAAACATAATCTGATTGTTCTGTGATAGCGGTATCATCGTTCGAGTTTTGGGGTCTAAAATTTTTTCTTGCTTGTGCAATTAAATCAATATTGTGTGTGAAATAATCTATTATGAACCATGCCAAAATTTTTTGTAGATCGTGTTTTGTATGTTGTGAAACGTCGTCTTTCGTGAAATTTTCTTTAATGATGTTTAAATAACTAGAGAGTAGTGTGATTTCATGTCGTACTCTTAAATGTTTAGATGTTTCTGTCGGTGAGACATTTGTTATTGGGATTTCGTTTTCTAATATCGAAATATAACTATATATTATTGCGAAAACTTCATTGGTGAATATGGAGTTTGCTCTTTGTGAGTTATGATATTGGATGTTTTTGATATATTCTGAAAAAACTTTTGAAAATTCTAAATCAAGATCGTCTGTTTGAATTGAATATTTTCTATTATTATGGTTTGGTGAGGTGAATTCTATGGAGTAGATTCCATACTGTTGTGTTATGTTGCATATATCTTTTAAGTAGTGGTCTATGATTTGTCTTTTGATTTTTACATCTGGGAACTCTGTTTTACATGGACTGATTCCGGGTTCAAATAAATTTACGAGTAAATTTTGACAAAATATGTTTTGTCCTCTATCAGTATCTGCGTCTACTATAAAAGGAAAGATTTCATCATCATCTGGACTTTCTTCACCTGGGGTGTGCGTTGAGCTCATTTTTTCGTTCGATGACTGTTAATATGTAATTATTAATGTGTCGAATTGGTTGATTCCAATTGTATAAATGTACTGGTTTGTGTTTATACTGCTTTTTTATTCTTCTTTTTCCTCTTTTTGATGAATTTGAAGTTGTTTCTGAGTCAGAAAAATATAATTGATCGTGAAGTGGGCAATTTTTATCTATTGATTCTTTTAGTTTGTAAAGTTCGTCTAAACTGTTGGTTTCTGATTCTGAAAATGCGTTTCGGTTTTTTGAAAATCTTTTTCGTGTTATTTGTCTTTGTTTCGTTATTATTTTTCTTTTTAGTGTTTGTCGTTTTGTTCGAATGTATCCAACTGTTTGTGTATGAGGTGTGATTACAAGGTCGTATTTTTTGTTATCTATTTCACAATTGTGTAAAACGATTGTTTGTTTATTTCCTAGGTTTTTAAATGACATAAGGTTTAGAATGACGGATGCAAAGGGTTGTTAAATGATTTCTATTTTCCTAAACTGTTAGTTCTTACGATTTTTTGGTTAGCTTAACCTGGGTCTATTTGTTCAGGGTTGGAGAGAAAAGTATATCGATTCCGAAGAATGATTTTTTACTTTCTCGTGGCTAGTATAAGTTAAGGTGTTAACTTACTTAATCTTACTTAGGGGTAGTGATTGTGTTCAAGGGTTGGAGAATAGTAAATCGATCCACAAGGTTCAGGTATAATTAGAACGCGAGTAGTTCGTTAGATACTATTTTAAACTTACTAAGTCTAAGATTTATCCTGGGTCTGGTAAGAGGGGGGGGGTCAAGTGAAGGATGAATAACCGAAGTTCTTCACTGTTTATCCTAATTTGAATGATTAGTTTTGTTTAAAAATTTCTATTAGTCTTGGGTCTTTAGAAAGGGTTGGGTAGTGAATCGACGTTTGAGGTCGTTAGACACTAATTAAGTGGGTGGGGGAGAACAAAGTTGTTCTGTTTGATCCAAGGATAAGCCTTGATGATCAAATTTGAAATTTAATTAAGTAGAAAATGATTTAAGATCCAAGGATAAGCCTTGATGATCTGGTTTTAAAATTAAGTGAATTTAAGTTTTAATAAAATTTTAAATGTGTGTAAAGGAAAGATTTAGTGTTTTGATGATATTAGTGGGTTTATGATTGCTGTTATGTTTTAGGTGATGGAGCTGGAACAACAGGATGATTTATGATTACTAACCATTTATTGTCATGCTACTAATTTTTATTTTTTATTTTTCAATAAATATTCTTCAAACATGTTTTGTATATTACTGCAGAGTTTTAGGAAAACGATCTTAGATCTTTTTATCAATCGTTATTGTATATTAATAATTTTGTTTAGCGCCTGAAATGATTTTGAAGATTAACTTCAAGGTTTTATGTTTGCAAATGAAAATCTAAATTCATTGCCAGTAGTATTCTAAATATAAAAGTTTGTTCTGGTTTTTGCCTAACTATCATATAGCTATATGGCAAGTTTCTACTTTGTCGTATGTCGTCTCTGGTTCGAGGTCTTCTTCCAATTCCGGGTAGTTCTGTTATGGTTCGGAATATTGGCTCTGATCTATTGAGTCGTAGAGACATTTCGATTAAATTATTGTCGTATAACATTTTTTAAATGTTTTTGTCTAATTTCTAATCTATTTTGGTTAATTCTAAGCTATTAAGGTCTTGTTCGAGACTTATGGTCGCACCAGATGAGTTAAGACCGAGTTGGTTAACTCATAGAGTAATTTCGGATAGGGTACACCGTCTGCTCGTCACGCTATCTTATTTTCGGCCGGATAGATTCGTGCAACTTCTTAGTCTAATACCGATCCTAATCTTACTCTTATACTATCTAGTCTCAGGTTGTTTAACTAGTCTCTGCTAGGCTCAATAGATCTAGGGTATACTGGTTTATTGCGGCTGCTGAAGTGCTCGGGAGAGTCCAACTAATTTCTAAGTTAAATTCAAATCTCTCTGGTGCTGAAATTACAAGTAACTTCAGCACTTACAAATAAGTGGGTTGTTAGTTAGATGGATCATGATTGGTTAATATTAAATACTTTACATTGGTAAAATATCTAATTTATCCAATCATAAAATGTAGTTTAGATCAGGTTCCATTAGGTTCTCAATTCTGTTGTTAAAGATTGTCGTTTGCTCTCCCTTTCTTAAATTGAATTTATTTACATTTGGTACAGAAAATTTTCAATTTCGTTTTGAAATTTGATATTGTTGACTTGACATGAGATGTGCTGTTTTTTTTCTGATAACTTTTTGAAAAAGTGTTGACGTTTCATGAACGTGTTATCATGAAGGTTTTTTTATTTTAAACGGTTCGTCCCTCCTTTATTCCCCTATCGTTATCCAGAGCAAAATTGTTTTTTTTTTCTTCGGCAAGAGCCGTAAATAACCGCTATAGTTGATTTATCCAAAGTTTAATAAAAATATAATGAATTCGACTTGAATATCCTTTGGACCGAATTCGACTATTTTGTGATTGGATAGAACACCGGAACAATTGTATATTTGATTCGTATACAGGCGGCTCTAGAAAAATTATCAAATATTCCGATCGTTTAAAAAAAAGAATTTTTTGTTGAAAAAATACAGAAAAATAAATAGTTTTTCATATTTATTTTCGTAAATCGTTTTCCGCATCCCTGCATGCATTAATCTGACATTGAAAAGTTTAAAATATGCTGTATTCTTTCTAAGTTTTTCGCCTCCACAGCCCAAAAACTATTGCAGTAATCAGTTTTGTTTTTCAATTTGAATGCCGTAGTGTCTTAGTAGCTGATCCGTATTGTAAGATAGCACTATGAAATTATCAGCTATTAGATTTGAAATTGAACTTATAATTCATTTAAGAGTTTAATAAATTGTGTTGTATTGCAAATGTTTCAACACATGCCAGCAAATAATGGATTTGTTGTTGAACTCTTCTGGGTTCCAAGTTTGGATGTGATCAACTGCGTTTTTATTTTTTGTCAAGTAGCCACTATTTGTTTTCACGGGATTCTTGCTCATCAGGTTTTGTTCAATCCAATCTCTTGTATGGGAGCTAATATCTCCAAGGCGCAGAAAGTGTGACATCTCTTGAACTGTTTCAATTGGCCTCAAAGCCAGCTGTTCATATTTTAAAAGATGAACTCGACTTAAATATCCTTTTGACCGAATTCGTTCGACTGAAACAACAACTTCTGCATTCAGTGCGCAGAAAAAAGTTATAACGCTCTTAACTCCGTAGTTAACAGAAAAACCCTTAATGTTCAGACTGCCTTTTAAAGCCTATGGAGCAGTGTTCGCTTCAAAAAAAACTGATCAAAAAACAGAAAAAGTTTTTGATATTCTGTTTTTTAGATCAACCCGCCATATACAGCACGAAATTATGCTTTTGCTCCTAGTAACGTAGCAATTGTGACAACTAGCTCACCTCAACCAAGTTTTTTTTAGGACGGAGTACGTCTCGCTTCGCGAAAATAGCGCAAACATATCGCGCATTTATAGTCCCAAATTGGCAATCTTAGAAAGCCCGTAAGCAAAAATATCAAAGGTGAAAAATATTTTAAATTTGAGCTCAAATAACAAAAAAAATCGAATGATATAATAAATTCCGTCAACAGCAGCTAGTCAAAAAACTCGAAAACTTTCTAGAGAAAAAAAACCGAGCTAAAATAATCTGTCACATTCTTCCAAAGTCAAAACAACAAGACTGCGCGTATCAGCGCAAAATTATGAAGGTTCCGGCTGCCCTGAACTGGTCTCGAATTGTTTTTGCTTAACTATAAACGTTGTTCTCCCGATATAAGTGCTTAATTTGGTCGAAGTATTATGATCAGTTAGTTCGCCTGATTCTTCCGACTTTCGGAACGAAAATACGGAATATTTGTTCTCGGGTGGGTTTTTTCTTCAGACAAATTTCGACTTTTTAACTTGTTATTTTTAACGGAAATTTTTAATATCATTCGAAATCTATTGTTGTCATAAGCTTGAGTTTGAAAAAATATTTCACCTGTGATCATTTTTTGTACAGCTATGGGGGTTTATTTTGGCCAATTTGACACAATTAACGTGCGATACATTTCGCTCTATTAACGCGTAAGCAAGATTTAATCCGTCCTAGAAATCGTTTCAAATTTGTAGAAGGAAGCTTATTTGCCTTGTTACTAGGAGCGAAATCTATAAAATTTGTACTTTATATGGCGTGGGGGGGGATGATTTTCATTAAAAAGCTTAAACTTTTCACAAGTTTTTTAAAAAATTTTCAAATTAAATTAAATTTTTTTATATTATTACTGCTTCATAGACTTTAAAATGCGATTGGACCCCTCAGGGCTTCGCCTTGATACGAGCAGTCTTGTTTCAATTTGGAACGATTATGAGTGCGGATTTTTGTCATGGTTAATGCGCAGTCAAAATTATTTGTAAAAGTAGTCTGAATATATAAAAAACAACCCCAAGCATATATATTACTATGTTTCTTCGAAAGTCCGAACTACAAAACTGCTTCGGTTTCAATGCAAAACCATCTTTCATCCGACTGCTCTTTAATTTCTATGAAACTGTTGTTTTCTTTGATATATTATTTTTGACAAATTTAAAGAATGATGCAACTTTAAAAACATGAAAACCTTTTTTTCTATATTTTACCCATCACGTTATCTAAATTTTAAAGTGACATAATTAGGGTCCAATATGAATTTAAATACTAAAATGCTTGCCTCAATTCAATTTGAACTTTTACTGAGCCGGATTAAAATGCCGCCTATGCATTTATATTACGAAAGTTGTCGGGCAATAGCTTTTCTTACTTGACAAATAACAACTTTCAAACCCCAATAACTTAACAAAAAATAAAGATTACGGATTTACAGGTTTAAAAAAAAACATTTTCAGATTCAAGCTCAAGGCATTGTTTTATTTCCAGCGGTATAAAGATTGCGTCAAAAAATATACTGGAAAATTTTCTGAGAAAAAAAACGACACGGACCACACTCAAGAAAAAACCAAAGCCATTTGATTTTCGGAACAAAAGCAAACCGATATAACTAGGACATCTTATTCTGAATTTTCCGATCGCCCTTTAATTGGTCTCAATTATTTCAACTTACTTATCAAATATATTGGCAGTCGGAATGAAAGGGCAGTCGGAAAATTCAGAACATTACAGAAAATTTGAAAACTTGATTGCAGCTATCGTTTCCTTTCAACAGTTGTTTTTGCGATTTTGTTGCTGCATTTTTTCGGCTTCGTATTAAACTGGTGGTGGTATCGTATCTGGGTAATACGAGTTTCAAAATATATTTTACGAATCGAAAATATGTTTTTAATTGCCAGTTCGAAAACGATTGTCTGCATTCTGTTTGTCATCAAGCACATCGACAGTTTCTGTATGTTTAGTGTCTAATCTTTGAGGCGTTTAAAAATAGCCAAACAACTTCTGTGCCATGCGCCCACACTTCACCTGAACATTTTTTCACCCCAGGAGGATGTGATTGGCTTAAAATTTTTTTCACCACCTTTAGTTCTAGCTATTTCATGTTTTTTCCTGATCTATCAGCATATTACCATCTTAATTTTCTCGACACTCTTAGATTAGATTTTTATGTTCAGCCAAAGGTAATTTTTTGAGATTTTTGACTGAATATTTTAATGGTTAAGAAAGTCAGACAATAATTTTGAATCAACTTATGCTTACCTGAAATCGAAGTCTTGAAAGTGTTTATGCAGCATTCGTCGTATGATTTGTGTGCCATTCTTTTCGTTTTCAACCTAAAAGGTCAATAAATTAGCTGTGTATTCCTTTTGATACAATAATTCACTAATTACCACAAAAATTCAGGCTTATCTAAACATTCAATTTCATATTCAATCTTGTAAAACTTACTGGTCATCCAAAGGAAGGTTGTTATTTTATTGTAGAAATTGATTCTGCGCTCAAAAGATCTCCAGAAGTCCTAATTTGTTACGAAGCGTGAACACTATACTATGATTATACACTCTCTTTCGCACCAAATCTTTAGCTTTCAGCTTTTTTCAGCATCTTTCAATATCAATTTTTGTTCTAATTACAAATTATTTTCCCCTCGTACACCCAAAAAAAAGTTATTTAAAAATTGATTTTCACAGAAAACAAAATGAAGGTTTATGATGTGTTACAACATATTGTCAAGCCAAATAAACACTTGAGAACAATGTAAAATTTAGTAACAATTGATCTTGAAAAATCTGCAGAGCCTTTTTTTATTTTTTGAAAACGTTTACCCTTCAGATAACAAAATTGACTCTTTTCCACCCCTCCTCCTTTTAATTTAGGTTTTTATCAACTGCTTTAAAGTTGCCACAATGCAATGAAACTTGGCAAGTTGAACATATGATCAATTGTGAATACATTTTTCATCATACCATACATCGTAACATTACGCGTTTAGCCATAATGACACGTAAAACAACTAAAATTTTTTTAAAAATTACGAAAGAGGGGGAGAAGTGAGTGGAAAGGAGCCAGAAAAAGCGGACGCTTCTTCCTCAGGGTTTCGACCCCTTGCCGACCCAAAGGGTCCCACTTTTGTACTATTTTGAGATATCCATATTTGGTGACGGACCCTAAGCATTTTCTAAGGGCGCCTTCGGCGCCAATATATACTAATTTTGAAGGAGCGCGCGCCGAAAAAACCGCGATTTTTGGTCGAAATTTTCCAAAAAATGCATAAAAACGCTTTTTTTGGTCTGCTTTTTCAATATTTTGTCCGCGGTTCAGCAAATTTTACCAAAAACAGGTCTTTTTAGTGTTTTGGGAGAGCTCCGAAAATCAATTTAGTTGACTTTAAAAAAAAAGATCGACAAAATTTTCGAAAGTTTTTTGAAAATTCGCCACACCTTGAGACAATCGTAGATCCGCCCCTGAAGATAGTTAATCTTCACTTGGAGTACTATCTGTTTTATTTTAAGTTGAAAATTTAGCTCTTTTCCAGTACCCCTTTTGATTTTTTTGAAAATGTCTTTTTAAAAGCCTATATTTGAAATGATTTTTGACATTCTAGCCAAAAATTAAACGTGTCGGCGTGAAGAGGTGAACAGATTTTTGAAACGTTTCTTTCATGCTAATTGGCATATGAATAGTTTTTAAATAACTTTATTTTGCAGTTTTAAGAAAGGGTGGGAAACTGGAAAAGAGGCAAAAAATCATGCACAAACTTTTCTGAAGAAAATGCGAAAATATGAGACGGCGTCCTTGATAAAGAATTCAATTTTCAAAAATTTATTGAAAATAACACACATACCTACTACTGAACACAGCTCTGGGATCTCGTATAATTGCAATGACCGCCAAATTTGGCCGACTTTTTAGCAAGCTTTCCAAAATTTCTACACTGTCTTCGAAACAACGCAGCCGAATAATTTTCACTACTTTTAAAATTGACTTTTTGCACACTTCTGTTGTAGCTGATATCGAATCATTGCTGAAAAGATTCTGCAGAGTCACATTTTGGGGTGCAAAAAGATCGAAGACCTTCTTTTGGTGGGGCCACATCTCGAAAAATGGTTTTATCATTCCGTTGAAGTTGCAATTGAAAGTTTCATTCAGAATCAGCTCTGCGAAATCAGAACTTGGTAACTCGAATTTAGTTAAACGCGTAAAAGGCGATGCCACAATTGACCAAAGTGGCTCGAAACTGTGGAAACATTTACCAGGAGTCTCTAAATTACATAAAAGTTCTGCAAGCATCGATGATCCAGATCTAGCTTCAGAAATAACTAAAATTTCCGTGAGAGGATGTAATTGTTCCGTAAGTGAAAACCTTTCGGAATAAAAACGAGCACTCTGGTGGTCTTTCGAGTTAGAATTTTCAAATAATTTCAGTGTGGTAATGGATTCCTTAAAGATGGCGAAGAAGAAAATAGTTGGAATAATGATGTAAGAAATCTTTTTGTTCATGTTCTTTTTACAAAAATCAACATTAAACAAGCAGCTAACCTTGGATCACTCCAGAGTTTGGGTGCACGTTGCCATTAACGACACGTGACAATTCTAATCAGCGTAAAAATTTACCGCTTCATTCACCGAAAACGAAAAAAAAACACGAAAAATTTGAAAACCAAACACGGACATCTAAAAATTACACACTGAAAGCAAAAACTCTCAGGGTATAAACGCCCAATTAAGTACAAAAGCAATTGGCTTTGATAAGTGCTCACTTGGAATTTATTTAGGTTTCATGTGGTCTAAAAAACTGTTTTGAGTTTCAAAGGAACATTTTATCCAGTTTCAATCTGGTTTATGTATAGTGGGACTTTCCTGCACATGTTTTTAGTGCGGTGGCGTTAGTAAGCCGCGTTGGTTATATAAGCCTAATTCCTTATTCCAACCAAAAAAAAATTTGAAACGCGAGAAAGCTAGTTAAAAAGGTTATCAGTTAGTTGACAAATTTGAAATTCAATTTTTCGCTGTTGCTGTCATGTTATTTTTGCTCAAGTGCTAAATAGAACTTTACAAAAGCGGGCGAGTTAAAGGGCAAGTTAGAGAGCTTACATAAAAAGCACACATAAATAGGATAAAAAGTTTAGTCGCATCTTCATTTTCTTTTTATTTACCAATTTATTACTTTTTATGACATTTTTACTGCATAAAAAAAATTATTAATTTACTGCACTTCGTATAAACTTGATTTGACAATTAGAATCTACTGCGATCAGTATCAAGATTGATTGAAAAATATATGAAGATGTTTCATTTTTTTGTTTTCTTAGAGTTTAAAAATAATGGTTAAATCTAAAAGAAAAGTGGCAACCTATACACATGAAAAAAGGTTGGTTAATATTCAGAATTAACTTGTAGATTATAAAAAGTCATTTACCTAGAAGTGGTGTCAACGAAAAAATTAGTTTCTATGTTTCTATAGTTAGTGATTGCGTTATAAGCTTAGCTACACTTAGAGTGCGTAAGAGTGGCCAAAGAAGCTCAAGAGCCTTGATGATTTCGATATGTTCTGCTGTCACTGAGATTTTGTGTTGAGTGTTTTGGATGAGATTGTGAAAGTTGTGAGTAAAGTAGGTGCCGTGGCTATTTTCTAATAGTGGTATTTCTACAGGCTGCATATATTCATAGGGGATGATAATGGGCAGGGATTCTTCAACGAGGATCGCGTCGTGAGGTTGCAAAATATGTACATTCAGCGTACGGGATCGTAGTTTTGAATGATGCCGTGTAGGTTAATACTTATAAGAAGTGGGCTGATATGTATTCAGAGTTATCAAACATATATCGATGATGTGGGTTTGGTGAGGATGAAGTTTGGAGAAAGTGTCTTTGGATGCAATGATAATCAGTCTGCGTGTGAGTTATTTTGTTTTTGGCATGATTTCGTGGGATCAATTTATGTCGGTTTTTTTTTGAGTGAGTAAAGTGAGGGCTAGTTGAAAACTAACAGAACGATTAAAGTAAGATTCTTACGCCTTGATATTCTTAAGCGCATGCTCAATGACGTGTTCAAACATTTTGTTAGTGCTGCGTAAAACGAAATATAGTCAGTTTTGATGAAAAATTTTCTGTTAATCTGAGGGTCAGTTGGATTTTTTTGCAGAGTCAGTGTCATACGGGGAGTCTTCCATGTAACATATAACAGTGTAGTCATAGTTTGCGATGGGTTTTTGGTAAGACTTTTATGCGATGAATCGACTGAGAACATGCGACAACCCAACAACATAAGTGAAAACTTTGAGCTGAATAGCGTTTATAAGTGCTGTGACGTATAATTCCTCGTATTCGTTTTTGAGGAGTTTTATATGTAGCGCGTTAGCGAAATTGTAGTATCAAAACAAAGGAAGGGTAGGGATTAATGAGTGATCGTCAACGTAGGAGTTGCGTTGACTTTTGGGTTCGTTATTAGTTTAACAATATTGGGGAAAGTATGGAACGTTGATAAGTAGGAATTCGTGGGTGCTAGTGTGTCTAAGATGGCTTGCGCTAAGAAGTCGTGATGGTGAAAGTCAATTGACTAAATATCTGGGTGAGTTGGCTGGGTTCTTCTTTCTCATGAGTATGTGTTGTGCACGAGCGGGGGTGTTATGGATGGGTTAATTGGTGGATGGTAAGTCTTGATTAGCATGAAGCATTTGTTATTGATAGTGAATGAAATCATCTAAATCTTGCTCTAATTGGTCATCTGTCATCGGGCTTGAGGTATCGGGAAAAGTGCTGGAAAAGGGAGAGAAAGTTGCGGTAGCGTCGGTATAAATGGAACCTGATGTTGATGATAGGGTAACTATGGGAACTGGTGAAAGGGTGGTTGAGAAAAGTTAAAATTGAGACTCAGTACAGAGTCAACAACTTCATCAGGAGTGTCGATGGCTGAGTTATTTACAAAATCTTATGCATTAAAAACTAATTGGATAGAATCGCCAGAATGCATGTGGGGTGAGTAAGGGGAAAGCGGAAAAATGTACCGGCAAAGGACAGGAGATGAGGCCAGAAGTACAGACGGTATGATTTCGACGCTGTAGATTAGAACGATAGGAAAGAGAGCGATGTAGGGATTCGAGTTTACGGCTCATTGCGGGCTAAAAAAACCATTGTCGTTAAGAGAACAAAAACTCACTGTGTGAGGTTTTTCTATAGTTTGTTCGTATGTTTCATTTAAATTTTGCGGTTGCTAAGCAATATGAGAGATTGCGCTTTGGTGTCTTTTATTATTTTGGTGAAAACGTGATGTTTATTAAAGCGTTCTCCTTTAACTGTGTGTGGATAGTGTGTCGATACTTTTGTGTCGATAGAATTTTGTTGCATTCAATAACTTGTGCGTCTTATAGATAGTTTTTGTTGCATTCATAAACTTGTGTGTCTAGTAGTATTTTTTATTGAGGACAAAAATCTTCCAAAAAATTGTGCAAATTTTATTCGACCTACGCTTGCTTGTCTGTTTACTTGCGTATGAATTCCACATGTGTTATTTATTCCATTAAGGAAAGAAAACAAAAATCTTATAAAGTATAAAGTTGAACATAGGATATAGGCTTGTGAGTTTTTCTAAAATGTAGTAAGGCCAGCCCAAAAATGCTAATAGTTTGTTTTTCTTATGTAAAAAACTAAATATTTTGATTCGAGAAATATCTTGGGGGCGATATTTTCCCTCGTTGAGCTTAAGGTAATCTTTAAAACCACCTTTAAACTATCAACTTTTTTCTTGTGCGTTGATATCTGAGAAACCCGCTGTTCGATCTTATAGGATCCTATTTAGTGAGTAGTTCTTGAAACTGATGTGTTCTGATGTGATATTTTATAACAAACTTTGAATATATTACTATAGATTGTAAGTCATAGTTAGAATTTCTGGCTATTCCGCGTCTACTTTCTGTTGAAAGTTTTTTTAAGGTGGCATCAGTGTGTGTGAGAAAAAAAATATTTTTTTTTGGGTTTAATTGTACTACATTGGGGCTAAGTTTTGATCCTCATGAGACGGCATTATCTCAAAAGTATGTACAAAATGAATTTTATTTTCAAAAATAATTTGGTAATCATTGGTAACAGCGTTTGCCTGCCAAGAGATATAGAGGTGAAACTTTTTTGGTGCATGTTTAGTGCCGAAGAATGTTTCCACCGATTCGTCCATCATGGTTGTGTAGTGTGAGTACTATGTCTTGTCAACCTAAATAATTTACTCCGAGTTAGGCTTGAGGGAGTTTTTTGGAGTTTTGGATAAAATTACGACAAATTATGTGAACCCAGGACAACTTGTTATGCACACAAAAAATTTGGCAAACAAATTTTTCTTAGAACAATGTTGTTGATAAAACAAAGTTTGTTCGAGCTTTAAAAGTTTTTTAAATTTTTTTTGTAAGTTTCGAAATTTTATTCTAGAAGAAATGTTATTATCGCCATCAAAATTCTATAACAAATGAATAATTGGTTTTTCAACAAAACAAAATTTCTTTTTTTTCTATGGTGGTATGCCGATATCTATGCTAAAACAGTTAACATTTATACTTCGATGAGACCAATTTTGCAAAAATTCACATTTGTCTGACTAAGTGTTTTCATAGCTTTAGCTGATGGACATTTATGATTGACTTTTTCGGTTGCAGGTCAATTCGAATCGGGTAGGACAAGACTCTTTTGAACAACCACCTGAACTAACTCCATGCAATAAGAATTTTTCATGAAACTGCAGCATCAAAAGCTCCATTCAGCTTTATGGGAACTTAAAAACCCAAAAGTCCCCTCCACTGTCATTAGAGATCGGCCGACCCACTCGAACATTTTTCTGAAGGCGCTGCAGGCAGCAATGTACACTACTCGAAGCAACATTTGAGGCAAGATTTGAGCGATTTGAGCGGTTTTTTAGACAATTACGCTCTCAAAATCTTGCTTCAAAATGAGCGGTTTGAGCGGTTTTTGAACGGTTTATCTATAAAACCGCGCAAGATTTGAACGGTTTTTGGCGGTTTATCTAAAAAAAACCGCTCAAAAACCGCGCAAGATTTGAGCGGTTTATCTAGAAAAATCGCTCAAAAACCGCTCAAATCTAGCGCGGTTTTTGAGCGTTTTTTTAGAATCGTTCTTTTAGAATCGTTTTTTTAGAAACCGCTCAAAATCGTTCAAATTTTGCGCGATTTTCAGCGGTTTTTTTAAGATAAACCGTTCAAGAACCGCTCAAACCGCTCATTTTCAAACAAGATTTTGAGCGTAATAGTCTAAAAAAACCGCTCAAACCGCTCAAATCTTGCTTCAAATTAGGTGAAAAGTCAGGACTCGGGTAGTGTACATTGCTGCCGGCAGCGCCTTCAGAAAAATTTTCGAGTGGGTCGGCCGATCTTTAATGGCAGAGGACGGGACTTTTGGGTTTTTAAGTTCCCATTAAGCTGATTGGAGCTTTTGATGCTGCAGTTTCATGAAAAATTCATAATGCATGGAGTTATTTCAGGTGGTTGTTCAAACGAGTCTTGTCCTACCCGATCCGAATTGACCTGCAACCGAAAACGTCAATCATAAAAGTCTATCAACTAAATCTATGAAAACACTTAGTCAGACAAATGTGAAAAATAGTCTCATCAAAGTATAAATGTTAACTGTTTTAACTGTCATATATGGAAATTATATGATAACCATTTTGTTATCTTCAAACTAAATTTTCGTTTTTGATGGGCCAAAATACTTATTTTGAGGTAGAGCGCGCGCCAAAAAACCGCGATTTTTTGGTTAAGATTTTCATGAACTTTTTTTTCAAAATTTTTGCCTGCGGCGCAGAAAGTTTGGCCACCAAAACAGTGACTAAACCGGTTACCGGGCTTAGGGAGCGTTAATCGGGCTTAGGGAGAGCTCGAAAAATCATTTCGGTCGACCTAAAAAAAATGGGGTTGACAAAATTTTTGAAAACATACCGCCCCCCCCCCCCCCTCGAGAAATTCCTAGATCCGACCCTGCTTGCGTATGACTTTTTTTAGTTTTTCTGTGCTCTCAATTCTTAGAATTGGTTCAATGGGAATAAATGCTCTTTTAGAAATATTTCTGCTTGCAGGAGTAAATATCAGTGTCCTAAAAAGTATCAAAGATGGGTAACTTAAAAAAATTGAAGCGACCCTTTTGCAATCAGAATGAAGCAACAAAGAGAAAGCAGTCGCCCTCGAGCCCTTTCAGTGATAGCAATGACAACAAAATGCCAGTTCAGCAAAGTTCAAATGAAATTACTTAGGCCTCTCACCCACCATAAAGAAAATATTAACTTGAATTCTAAAAAGCTCAATCAATTTTTAACTGGAAATTCAATTTGGTCGATTAAATAAAGAAAATATTGTCAATACAATATAAACCGATGTGATTATCTTGATAATGAGACATCAGCTATAAAGGTATCTATTTTTTGCAGTAAAGCTAGGCAAAATTTCAGTGAAGTTAAAATTGTAATATGATGATAGACATTAAGAAATTGAAAATAAGATGACAAAACCTTTTTACAACAGAAAAAAAGTGTCAGAAAAAAAAACAACTCATAATTGAACTCATGAAAGGTTGTTGACTGGAAAAATATTAAAATTTTAGACGTTTTAGTTATTTTCATGGCGCAAGTGTGTCATAGTTTGCATAGGAAATCCTGTTTCCACTTAGCGAGATGTTAACTGTTATAAGTCTTGGAAGTTGCGGTTGAAGTTGCTTTATTCACTAGTGTATTTATGTGCAAAGAAACAATTGTATCAGCTGGTATCGTTTTATCGCCAGGAAACAATCTAGCGAAAATTATGATAATTTAAACAATCAGAGTGTGAATGACCTAAGTATTATGATGAAAGAACTGTCGATCCATTAATTTGATATAAGAAATTCTAGATAAAAAGTATCCGGCATTTGGACCTGAAGATTTTTTTTGACCTAAATTTCCTCTCTCTGTAAAACAGTACCTAGTTACACAGCAACATATCGACAACGAAAAAATCACGTACACTTGTTTGCACTTTTCCTACAGTAAACAAACTTAAATCTTTTTATTTACTGCAACTACCTTCTGCATCTGCACTCTAAAGTTTTCAATTTTTTTGAATAACATAAACATTTCAAGCTTCGAAATATTTCTTTCTAGATCTTTCTAGAAGTTTAAAATTGAGTTTTGAAGTTGTTTATTTTCAATTAATACTCTGACCATTGTAAATGGGTAGGAAGTTTGTATTCGGGTGTGTTTTAATTTTCGAACCATTTTCCAAATTCCCAAATTTTTTTCTAGTGTCGAGAAAAACCGGTGTGAAATTTCTGATTTTTCGTCTTAATTCGAACGAATAAAAGGGTTTACAATAGCTTATTGTAATTGCTTGAAAGCTAACAATAGCTTAGTTTAAAACATCAATTTTCATTTTACCTGAGTAATATTATTTTTTTTTTGAGTATTTTAGCGCCTTTTTCAAAACTTCGAAATTTCAAAAAGCCGCAAACCAACGAAAGACTTTTGAATTCTTTTTTCATTTTTTTGTTTTTTGAGTCATTTTTCCTCACAAATTGTTTTCAATTTGCTTATTTTACTATGAATGTTAAGCATGCCTAGTCTCTAGTTGTTTTGCTTAGCTCCTTCTATCACACCACGCCGAAAATAACGACACTAATTTTTAAAAAAAAACTATGTTTGTATTTTTTTAAGAGTACGGTCGGAATATTATGTGCTTCTTGCACAGTAACCGGCTATCCTTGTTTCAATTGTTTCTTTTTTTCAGCTGTTTTCTCAAGAATGATAAGCTGAGCAGCTCATTTTATTTTTTTCTTAAAGCAGGACAACGTCGAGGCAAGCAACTATTAAACCTAAGATACCTAAAAAAAGAGAATTAGTGAAAAAAATGGCATGTTGCAACAAGCTGAAAGATAAATTTGCCGAAATTATTGAGTGTGCCCGTTTGCCGAAAGCGTGTCAGGACATTTGTGTCCCAGACACTTATGTCCCGGCAAAAACAGTCCAAAATGCAAAAAGTGTCCAAGACATTTGGTTCCCAGACAAAATTGTCCCAAAATTGTCCAGGCTATTGCCACACTAGTTAATGACCGGATTAATTTGATAAGCTCTCAATAGGAAGGATTAGATCGATAAGGCCACGCAAGTGAGCACTTAGACCAGAAATTACTTCGCGTAGCAAATTAGAGACGAAATTAACACAGGACTCAAATCATTTACACATACCTACACAATTATATCTTGATTGATAATGTTGCCAAACGTATACACGAGAGATCATATTTTCATTGTTATTGCTCTCGAGTTCGTGTTGACAATGGAAATTCTCATGACAAATAAAAACAACGAAATGCTAGTTTATGATGCATACGCATATTTCAAACATCGGATTCTAACAGACACCTCAATTTCGTGGCGGTGTGTTTTATCGAAATGCAATGGCCGTGTGCGCACTTTCCAAGATAACGTCACTATCATAAATGAACACAGTCATTTTCCCGATCCAGCCGATATTGAAAAACGAAAATTCAGGACAGCTCTCAAAACAAGAGCAGTTGTGTCAGATGAGCCACCCCGTCAAACAATTCTTTCCGTACAAAGAGAAATCAACAGAGAGACTGCAGCAGTAATCCCGAGCTATTCTGCCAACCAGAGGACAATAAATAGAGTCAAACAGGAAAAACGGCCCAGAATGCAGGAACCCCAATCCCTAACTGATTTTGAACTGCCAGAGTTGCTGAAAGTGACACACAGCGGCGAGCGTTTCCTTCATTTTGACTCTGGACCTAATGATACCAAGCGAATAATGGTTTTCACCACTCTTCCGGGACTCGACATTCTCAGTGGCGCTGATGATTGGTTCTGCGATGGCACCTTTTCTACGGCCCCGAGTGTGTTCTTTCAGATATACACCATCCACGCTTCAGTCGAGGGAATTCTTCTGAGTTTCCTAAAAGGGTGCAGCAGCAACATCAAACTATAATTTAAAGTCAATTTATTTTCCAAAGTTGATATTGCGAAGCAATAATTTTCAATAAATTTTTCTAAGTTGAACTTTTTCCCAGAAAATTTCAAAATTGAGCTAGACCCGATTTGAAAACGGCAAAATGATCAATGTAATCAAGCTTTTCCCACCCTCTTCCCTTTTGGCTCAATCAAGTCAACCCATTTCAACTTTGCCCTAGTTTACCCATTTTTGGGTTTTTTAATTTCAAATATTGACTAAATTACGAAAATTTTTTGTCGAGCCAGAGATTTGAACTTCAAACCTTTTGACCTTGAGACTTATGACTTCATCACTCGGCCAAATGCGCTTTTAAATTTCAAAATGTTCTTGAAAGTTTTGTCTCACTTTGACTGTTCTATGGTTAATTGGTACGCATAAAATCTACTTAAAGAACGATCAAACAACCTCAAAAGAACAAAGCATTAAAGATCACAAGGTCAAATCAAAGAAATTAATTTCGCAAAACAATTTCGGACAATTTTGTCTGGGACATAAATGTCTGGTACAATTTTATCATTTCGGACTGTTTTGTCAAGGACACAAATGTCTTGGACACAAATGTCTATGCACCGCCGAAAGAGTATTATTTAGCTTGATTGGCTGCATCCTTTCAAGCGCTAAAGCGTTGCCGCGCATGAAAAACATTTATTAGCCGCGCAAGAAAAGCATTGTGAAATGGAAGAAATTCTAAATTACCTCCTTGACTGAAATGCTTATTTTATAACAACCCCTGATTAAGAACTCAGATTAAGTCAATTAAAAATTTTCCACAACTTTGGCAAGCTGACAATTTGGAACGTCGTTTTTCCACCTTGAAAGGAAAATTGAGCTGTTGAGCTGGAATGCAAAATATATTAGCAAAAAATAAGCGAGATAACGAATGGCAATATCAAAATATTTAAAGATCGTTGATAATTTTGTACAGACTTTTTTTAAATTATCTTAAGCAATTGCTTCCGATTTGAACGTACTTTTACACCGAAGTCCGCTAGGCTCATCTCTTTTACTTACAAAGATTTTTCGCTGAAATCAATGTTCCGTTTATCTAAGACGTGCAAAAACTGGTAACTAAAGACAAGTTGGTAATAATACAGAACTCACCATAATCAAGGAAAGCAAAAATTACATCAATAAATAAAAATTGAACAAAACTCTTCGCTTAATCTAGATTAGAATCAAACACTGATTCACGCGCTACATAGCACTTGAGTCAGATACAAGTATAGTGGGCTAAGGGGTGACAGTTTGCCAACGCCGCATTTTGAATTAACTTTCAAGATTTGGGAGTTTTCGCTTCCCTTCACTTTTGCATTTTGTGCCGACTTTCGTAACGAAATTAGCAGAACATTTATGCACGGAGTGGTTTTCTTTGTTCAGACAAGTTTTGACTTTTTCACTAGCCATTTTTGATGTATTTTTGTATATCATTCAATTTTGTTGCCTTGAGCTTAAACTTAAAAAGATATTTCAACTGTGATTATTTTCGTAAAGTTATGGGGATTGGAACCTGATCTAAACTACATTTTATGATTGGATAATTTAGATATTTTACCAATGTAAAGTATTTAATATTAACCAATCATGATCCATCTAACTAACAACCCACTTATTTGTAAGTGCTGAAGTTACTTGTAATTTCAGCACCAGAGAGATTTGAATTTAACTTAGAAATTAGTTGGACTCTCCCGAGCACTTCAGCAGCCGCAATAAACCAGTATACCCTAGATCTATTGAGCCTAGCAGAGACTAGTTAAACAACCTGAGACTAGATAGTATAAGAGTAAGATTAGGATCGGTATTAGACTAAGAAGTTGCACGAATCTATCCAACAGTTTAGACGAACTTTACAAACTAAAAGAATCAATAGATAAAAATTGCCCACTTCACGATCAATTATATTTTTCTGACTCAGAAACAACTTCAAATTCATCAAAAAGAGGAAAAAGAAGAATAAAAAAGCAGTATAAACACAAACCAGTACATTTATACAATTGGAATCAACCAATTCGACACATTAATAATTACATATTAACAGTCATCGAACGAAAAAATGAGCTCAACGCACACTCCAGGTGAAGAAACTCCAGATGATGATGAAATCTTTCCTTTTATAGTAGACGCAGATACTGATAGAGGACAACACATATTTTGTCAAAATTTACTCGTAAATTTATTTGAACCCGGAATTAGTCCATGTAAAACAGAGTTCCCAGATGTAAAAATCAAAAGACAAATCATAGACCACTACTTAAAAGATATATGCAACATAACACAACAGTATGGAATCTACTCCATAGAATTCACCTCACCAAACCATAATAATAGAAAATATACAATTCAAACAGACGATCTTGATTTAGAATTTTCAAAAGTTTTTTCAGAATATATAAAAAGCATCCAATATCATAACTCACAAAGAGCAAACTCCATATTCACCAATGAAGTTTTCGCAATAATATATAGTTATATTTCGATATTAGAAAACGAAATCCCAATAACAAATGTCTCACCGACAGAAACATCTAAACATTTGAAAGTACGACATGAAATCACACTACTCTCTAGTTATTTAAACATCATTAAAG